CTTGGGCAGCACAGAAATATACAGGAAAGAAGAAAGCAAAGATCACTGTGACTCCAAACCTGGAGAAAACCTCTCTGGGCATTTTGGTGTATTTCCTTCTCTCTTTGTTCAACGCCTATCTTTATCTCTATCTCTGCTTGTAACACATGGTGTCTATTTGAGGTCCTGCTTTTCTTCCCACCCACATTGGCATTGTTTTCTGAGTATTACCCATTAAAAATTCTTCCAAAGCAATGATCATTTAATGAATAGGTATTCACCTTCCAAGATTAAGATAATGTTTTTATCTAGGTATTAGTATTGAATTAGTCTTGACGAAGACAATGTTCTTATCTAGGAATTAGTATTGACTATATTAACATCCCCATTTAACACCACACACAGACACACACACACACACACACTCTCATAGATACACACACAGACACACACACATACATACTTCTGTCTGAAAGTTTATCAGGAAGGCAGGTAGATGAAACACCCCTCACTGCAAGGCACAGGCCCTTTACGTGAGATCTGTGGGGAGGATGTGGGGCAGGAGGCTGGGTAAGAGGTGGGCATGGGAACATGGCTTCCAGCTACTCGTTGCCCCTCTCGAAATTCCCAGCCCTTGACCTAAGAGCTTCCTCTGGGATGGAGTGTGAACCAGCTACCTGACAGGTGGGACCAGGGTTCAAAACTATGTGGGTGACAGGGTGAGGTGGCTCATGCCTGTAATCCCCACACTTTGGAAGGCCAAGGCGGGTGGATCACATGAGGTCAGGAGTTTGAGACCAGCCTGGGCAACATGGTGAAACTTTGCTTCTACTAAAAATACAAAAATCAGCCAGGAGTGGTGGCATGTGCCTGTAGTCCCAGCTACTCAGGAGGCTGAGGAAGAGAATTGCTTCAGCCTGGCAGCAGGGGGACAGGGGGTGGCAGGTAGAGGTTGCAGTAAGCCGAGATCTTGCCACTGCACTTTGGCCTGGGCGATAGAGCGAGATTCCGTCTCAAAACAAAAACAAAAAACCCTATGCGTGTGTATGTTTTCATGCTCAAGAAAGTAAAATGGTCTCCAAAAAATAAAACTGGATTGGACAAGGGAATTTTATCTGTTTTCCTGAGAGTGCCAACATTATGCTCCCACATCATTGTTTATATTCCAGATTCCCTGGGTTGCCCTTAATCTGGCACATACTCCAGAACAGAATGCACTGTTTTCCTCAGTGATGGTGGCTAGCACACCCCGAAGGCCACCAGCACAGCCTATGTGTCCAGTCTCCAGAGCCAGGACAGAGGTAGTCTTTCGGGTTCTTTGGGACTGGCATAGGACAGGAGAGTGGAGTGTAGGTGGGGAGGGCAGCCAACAGCAGCTATGAACCCGTCTCAAAGAAATCCCACACAAGGCCAGGCGTGGTGGCTCACGCCTATAATCCCAGCGCTTTGGGAGGCCGAGGCGGGCGGATCACGAGGTCAAGAGATCGAAACCATCTTGGCCAACATGGTGAAACTCTGTCTCTACTAAAAATACAAAAATTAGCTGGGCATGGTAGTGCATGTGTGTAATCCCAGCTACTGGGGACACTGAGGCAGGAGAATTGCTTGAACCTAGGAGGCGGAGATTGCAGTGAGTCGAGATGGTGCCACTGCACTCCAGCCTGGTGACGGAGTGAAACTTCATCTAAAAAGAGAAGAAATCCCACATGAGCTTCCAGGGAGTGTCCCAAGGAATGGCTCTAATACTCCAAGGGTCGTGTTTCTCACCTTTATGGGTTAGCAGCTGACGACCCAGGGACTGAGACCACTGGAAGTAGGAAGGAAGTGAGTAGAAAAATGAGGGTGAAGATGAAGAAATAGAAGGGCTGGATTACCCAAGAGGCATACGATCGTTCTGAGCCATCCAGAAAATGAGGGAATCATCAGGGTTTTGGTGGGTTTTGTTTTTTGTTTGTTAGTTAGTTTGTTTGTTTTTTGGGACGGGGTCTTGCACTATCCCTCAGGCTGGAGTGCAGTGGAGTGATCATAGCTCACTGCAGCCTTAAACTCCTGGGCTCGAGAGATCCTCCTGCTTCAGCCATCCAAGTACCTAGGACTACAGGTATGCACTACCACACCCAGCTAATTTTTATTTTTTGGAGATGGGAATCTGATTTTGTTGTCCAGGCTGGTCACGAACTCCTGGCATTGAGCCATCCTCCTGCCCCAGCTTCCCACAGGCATGAGCCACTGTGCCCAATTTGGGAACCATCAGTTTTTTAAAAAATAGGATTTAATATTTCACAAAGAGTATCTATGTATTGCCTGTGAGGATGGGGTGGGAGGCGGGTAGGGCAAAGGTACAGAAGGGAAAGGTAATCACTCACCTTTAGTAATTAGGGCCTCAGTTATTTTTAGTAATGCAGGCTCAACAGGTCCTGAATGGGCAGGAAGGAGATGTTAAAGGAGGAAAAAGAAAGAGAAAGATGGAAGATAAAAAGGTCAGTGTGGTGGCTAACGCCTGTCATCCCAGCACTTTAGGAGGCCAAGGCAGGAGAATTGCTTGAGTCCAGGAGTTCAAGACCAGCCTGGGCAATATAGTGAGACCCTGTCTCAGAAAAATTAAAAAAAGGAGAGAAAGAAAAGCAAGTATGAGTATCCATTGGCAAATATGTACCAAGTGTCTACTGCGTCTTAGGCTGTGTGCTAAGAACTGGGAATGTAGAATTAAAATTTCCTGATCTGCTGAGAGAGAAGAAGGAGGAGGAGGAGGAAGAAGAAGAAGCAGAAGCAAGGAAGCAAGCGAGAGAGAGAGGAAGGAAGGAATAAGGAGGAGGAGGAAGAGGAAGAAGGAAGAAAAAGAATGAAAGCTTTCAAGCCCTGCCTTCAAGGAGCAGTATGCCACAGAAACTTGGTGTACAGATTGTCACTGGTTGTGTTACTGGGCTGCTGCTGAGCTGCTTATCCCTTTATGGTTGCTTGTTCTTCAGCAGGAAGTCCAGTCTCCACTGTTAAATGTAATTTGTCTTAGAATCTTCGGAGGGGCCGAACTCTATAAGGCAAACCAAACAAATATCCTTTTTCTTCATTTAAATAGCATGCTTATCATTCATTCCTTTTTTTTTTCTCTTTTATTTTATTTTCCTTTCTCCTTTCTCCTTCTTTCTTCTGTCTCTCTCTCCTTTTCTTTTTTTCTTTCTTTCAGACGGCATTTTGCTCTGCCATATAGGCTGGAGTGCAGTGTGGTGCAATCTCAGCCCACTGCAGCCATCGACTCCTGGGTTCAAGCGATTCTCCTGCCTCAGCCTTGGGAGTAGCTGGGATTACAGGTGCACACCACAGCACTCAGCTAATTTTTGTAGAGATGGGGTTTCGCCATGTTGGCCTGGCTGGTCTCAAATTCCTGTCCTCAAGTGATCCGTCTGCCTCAGCCTCCCAAAGTGTTGGGATTACAGGCATGAGCCACCACACCGGCCTCATTCATTCATTTTTCAAACCTCGAGGTTACACCTTACTACGAAAGGCATGCTACAAAGGATCTATCTAACCATTTTTTTTTTCTTGGCACTTTAAAGAACAGGGACCTTTGTGACAGCCTCTCTCTGAGGCATTAACTATCTTGGAAACCATAGATTAGATTAAGAAGGGAGGTCAAAACATTCTTGAATCACTTAAAACTGGAGACTACATGGTTTCAAGGTGAAACCCCTGAGGTCAAAACATTCTTGAATCACTTAAAACTGGAGACTACATGGTTTCAAGGTGAAACCCCTGGGTTGCACATTGGGAACTGACATAGGAAGTCTGCTTGGAGCTTCCTTTCTTTGTCTTTCATTGGTATCCCAGTGGCTTATTGCCTGAGCAGAATCACTGAAGGTGTGTGACGTGACTGAATCAATTCTCTGCACTGGCAAGCAGCAGCCACCTGCACCACCAAAGACTTTTGGGACACCCTGCTGCTGTCGTGCAAGACCCAGGTTACAGAAATGAAGAGAGTGTGTTCCCTGCCCTTGGGTTGCTTACAGCCTAAGAGAGGAAGCAGAGAGGTAAACAACTGATTGGAACTTGAAACAAAATCAAATGCATTTTAAACTCTGGAAGAGGCACTGGGACCATGAGGACTCAGATGTGAGAGCACTTAATTTCATTAACAGAAAACCTGATGGAGGGAATATTCATTTCAGCTGAGCCTTCAAAGATACATAAGATAGCACAGGTAGAAAAGATGGAAGGTGATTTTCCAGCTGAAGGAATTGTAAGGGATTTGCACAGAAACACGAAAGCATGCAGTGATTCCAGGAAAAGTAGCTCTTTGGAGGTGGCTTGAAGGGAGGGAGAGTGCATGGGGCAATTAAGTAAAAGTCATGGGCCGGGCACGGTGGCTTACGCTTGTAACCCCAGCACTTTGGGAGGCCAAGGCAGGTGGATCACCTGAGGTCAGGAGTTGGAGATCAGCCTGGCCAACATGGTGAAACTGTATCTCTACTAAAAACACAAAAACTTGGCCAGGCATGGTGGCAGGTGCCTGTAATCTCAGCTACTTGGGAGGCTGAGGCAGGAGAATCGCTTGAACCCGGGAGGCAGAGGTTGCAGTGAGCTGAGATTGTACCATTGCACTCTAGCCTGGGCAACAAGAGCGAAACTCCATCTCTAAATAAATAAATAAATAAATAAATAAATAAATAAATAAATAAAAAGTAAAAGTCATCTGAGAGACTCACAGGAAGAAACTACAGCAACCTGCCCACAGACGGATGCTTAGGTGGGAGGTAGTGCATGTTGCCTGGTATTCCAAGTCAGGCACACCAGAGTTTGCCTCTCAACTGTCTTATTATTGCTGACATATGTTGAACTTATTGAACCTCATTTTCATATTACATAAGTTGAAGATAATATATCTACATTTTAGATGGATGTTAAAGTGCTGAACAAGTGAAAATGACAGACCCTCAATAAATGTAGCCCCTTCTTTTTAACTCTTGAGGCGGAAACATAATTGAGCATCAAATCATTTTCTGTATTGTCATTCGTTTCACAAATAGTTATTGACGGCCTTCTGTGCATTGGGCCCTGTGCTAGAAGCTGAAGAGTATTCAAAAATGCAAGCCATCAAAGAGAAGATAATATAGTTGTGAGATGATATGAGGAGAGATCAAAGGAGAAGTCAGTGTCCAAGATAGCAACCAATCGGAGCCCTCACAAGGCTGCGCCCCATTCATGAACAAAAGGAGCATCCAGGCAGTGAGTACTGTGCGTGATGTACGAAGAGTGGTGTGCATGGTGGACAGAGAGTGCTGTGAGTTCAGAGTACGGTGAGGTCACTGAGGACTGGGATGGGCTGGAAAGGTTTCAAGGAACAGGAGAAATGCGAGCCAGACCTGGAACCTAGTTAGCATTTGGAGAGCAGAATCACTGGACGTGTGTGAAGTGACTGAAGGAAGAAGAGGGGAAAGGAATGATTGTGTTAAGTGGCAAAAACCCAGCCATAGAGCAAGGTGAGCTTAGGGGAAGTCTGGTTTGACTGTATAGGAGGAGTCCTGGGAGATAGGGCTGAGAGGGAGATTGGTGTCAGATTATGGAAAGCTTTGGAGGTCAGGCTAAGGACTTCAATTTCCATGACAGGCAATGTGTTTTTCATTGTGTGCTCTAGGGCACACAGATCTACCTCCCACCTGCACCCTGCATTTTTTAAATGCCACTTATTCTGTAGTATTCATATATTGTACTGTTTTCTCTATTAGAAATATGTGTCATACTATGCCCTAAGCAAAACTATAAATTCTACAGGATAGGGCTCATGAAGATTTCCTAAGTTGATGTGATTTAATGAGGTAGCAGATCTTAGAAGCTGGGAAGTAAAGAAGGTTTAGTGATGTCCGTGGAGAAACTGGGAGCATACTGCTCCGACGGTTTGTAGAAAGTGCCAGCCACTGCACTGTCTCCACACTTGGTGCCTCTCCAAATGTTGATTTTAATGCTCTTGGAGTTGCCTTGATGGTTTGGACCTCTAGTTTGAACAATATCACTGTAGACCATATTTGATGTTACTTCCCATACACTAATATCAGAAATACAGGTGTGATGTGGTTTGGCTGTGTCCACACCCAAATCTCATCTTGAATTGTAGCTCCCATAATTCCCGTGTCATGGGAGGCACCTGGTGGGAGGTAATTAAATCATGTCGGTGAGTCTTTCTTGTGGTGGGGTTCTCATGATAGTGAATAAGTCTCACAAGATCTGATGGTTTTAAAAATGGGCGTTTCCTTGCACAAGCTCTCTCTCTTTGCCTGCCATCATCTGTGAAATACATGACTTGCTTCTCCTTGCCCTCTGCCATGATTGTGAGGGCTCCCCAGTCATGTGGAACTGTAAGTCCATTAAACCTCTTTTTCTTTCCAGTCTCAGGTATGTCTTTATCAGCAGCATGAAAATGGATAATACAAGGTAGAAGGCACATTTCTGCTGAAAGGTCTTAGATCTTCCAGATTCTTTCAGATTTTGCCTGATCAAACTCCTTCACTCTCCTAAAACAAACCAACCAAAGTAACAACAGAACAGTAGTAACAAACTCATCAAGTAACAATAGAACTGCTGTGTGTTTATAACTCCCTTGCTCTCTAGAGACCCCTGTGCTTTGATACTATCATTTGCTCTTTCTCAGCTTAACTCTGAGGAAGAAATCAACCAAGAACCTTGGGAATCAAGTGACCAAGGGCAGAAAGCAAGAAGGGTGCAGTGCAAACATGGCCTGCCTGGATGTTTGCTTTGGTTTAAAGAGTTACCAGGGATAGTATACTAACCTTTTATTTTGCAGGGGCCTTTACTTTCCTGGTAAACAGCTGTTTTTAAAGTAGCAGTTTCTCAATGTGACTGGGCAAACAGATCCTTAAAATAGATCTGACCCTCCTTTCTGTGCATCAGCCAGGGTGGCAGCAGTGACACCTGGGCCACTGGTCCCAGTTGCATGCCAGGAAAATAAGCAGTAGTGTCTGGGTTACTTTTCTATCCAGGGCACAGCCGTTTATCCCACTGCCTCTTGAAGCCATAGCCTGTGGTGGCCCCGACTACCACCAAGTAGTAGACTCTACACACAAGTGTCTGCAGCCCCAGGCGCTGAGAGAGACCCTCCCAGTAGGGCATGCGCAGGGACCGCCTTACTGGCCTGGAGTAGATCACTTTGGTTTCACAGACTCTTTTTAACGTGGTTTTCCATAGCAAGGGCAGCTAACTGGGGTGGAGGTGAATATGGGGCCTGGGAAGAGGCCATTCATCGTGGTTCCTACAAGGAACAAGGTCAGTGTCTCCCCTTCCCAACAGGAGCCTGCTCCTGCAGTTGGGGGTCATGCCTAGCTCTCAAGGCCCTAGATGCTGACCATCCTCAGCCTGTTTTTCTGCCCCCCCTCCATATGTATTTACTACTGGAGTAAGACCAGCTTTTTACAGGCACTCCCCAAAACATACACATACATGAAACTTGTGCCAGTCTTCTCTTCTGGCCTTTGTTCATGCTGTTCTTTCATCCTGGTAAATTCTTTCCTTTCCCCTGTATCCATTCAAATCCTTCCCACCCTTCAAGGTCTGGTGTAAACCTACTCCCTCCATAAAGCCTCCTCAGCATGTTCCTATTTGTGATCCTGGTTCTTGTCTGTTTCATGTAGGTCAGTTCAATCTCTCCATGTAGTTTGCAAGCCCCAGGAAAGCAGAGTCCATGTCAGGTCCTTTAAAGGTGTCACCTACATCCCCTAAAATAGCTCTCATTTCCTGTATGACTTCTCTCTCCTTTGTAATTCACTTTTTTAAAAAAACCTTTTTTTCCCCCCATAAGTGACTGGGAATGATGCTCTTCACTTCTGAAATGCCTGTAGCTACTTGCACAAAGCTGGTGATCAATAAATACTTGCTGATTGGATAATTTATCAATAGCCTATATTGAAGAGAGAAAATAGTAACTAAAATGATGAAAGCTTGAGCATGATCCATCAATCTTACTTTGGATCCTTGAAGACGAGCACGTCTAAACACATAATGGCCTTTGCATGCAGTTCTCTTTCATTTAGTTGCTTAAAGAGGTAGTTTGACTCCAGCCTCTCTATATTCAGCTACAACAATTCAAACTAGTAAACTTTAAATGAACATCCTGACTGTACTGGATCCTGGTCACGGGATCTGAGGCCCTGCTCCTGGAGAAGAGAGTGGAAGAGCCTTTATTAGTCACCAACCAGTCATTTCCCACTTAGCCCTAATGGGTAGTAAGCATGACAGCTATGAGCAGTAGCCACAGGCTGTTTAGGGTAAGGGAAAACGTAGGGAAGGAGATCCAAAGGATGCGAAGCTGGAATGAAGGATTTCAGCTTCCAAAAGCACAAACTGATTGATTCTCAAAGTACATACCGTAGCCTGTAGTGAGTCATGACCAATTATGCAAGTGGCATAGCAGACACCAGAACCAAATGAGACCTCCAAGGGAGGGAAACCAGGCCAAAGCTTTCTCTGGGGAGCAGCCAAACCGTCAACAGTCATGGAACAAAGTCAGGAAAAGGCCCTGAGAAGAGCTAAATTTATCCAGGTTGCCTGTGGTGCTTGAGGGCATGAACTTCAGGGAAAAAAGAGCAAATGAGGAGTTACTCATATGCCAGAGAGAGAGAGAGAGACCAGAAAAGACAGGACAATACCTATGGCTGGTGGTTTACAACAGCAGAAGAGGGAAATCTCACTAATGTTGACCAGCAGCAGCTGCCTAGCCATATCACTCTGTGTGTGTCTGTGTGTGTTGGTATGGGTGTATGTCTTTAAACTGAGGACCTTTATACTAGGGATTTAGAGTGGACAGAAGATCAGGAACCACATCAAGTTTCCACTACCTCTGATGGCTCCTAGAAAGGTAGTGTTTTCCCAGAGAACTAGGTAAATAGCTGAGAGTTACAAAAGCATGCCAGTTCATACCCAATGATTGGAACATGTGATACCCAGGGTACGATAGCTTAGTGACATAATGGTAGAATCTCACCTACTGATGGATCACAGAGAAAATGCTGAGATCATTGTCAGTCTGAACAATGTTTCTAATTTGGAAGGAGTTGGAGGAAGCCATGATAATGAGTTATCTTGCCCACTCAAGGGTGGCTCTCAAAAGTAAGGTGGGCAGGAGGAAGCAGGAGGTGACGGAGCACTTGCTGAGTAGCTATTGGTAGTTTTTTGTAAATACTCTCTCATTCAATCCTTTGAGGTAAGTATCATCTCCAGTTTATAGATGACAACACTGAGACTCATGGAGTTTATGTAATCTTAACAAGGTCACCCTAATGATAAGGATTGAAGTCATGGTTCAAACTTAGGCTGCTTGCTCCAAAGCCTGGGCTTTTTCTGCCCTACTGCCGTGGTTCCTAGCTCTCTCCACACTCCTCAAGTCTAAAATCCCAGCCAGAGTGAACCTCCAGGGAGAGCCTGGTGTAATCAGGACATGGGGGATGAGAATGTGAGCTCTTTGCTCGTAAAATCTCCTGCATCTTGGACCAATCAAAAGCTAACAATCAACCAATCCCTTCCCTGGGCCGACCCACCACTTTACTACTTGGAATTTCTTCCAAAGTGACATTTTTTTTTTAGAAAACACACTTAATGAGATGAAAGGTGACTGTCGTCGCCTTTTCTCTTTGCTTTAAGCATGTGATAACCTTTCTTTCTGGTCATGTCCCAGTCTTCTTGGTCTTTGCCCTCAGCACTGTGAAAGTGCATGTTTGCCCAACCTTTATACCACATAGCTCTGAGCAGCACATGTTCTGATCTGGACTAAGTTCACTTAGCAGAAGAGTGGGTGGCCTCCTACTGACCCTTTCTGGAAATACCTGTCCTCACCAGGTTCCCCTTAGGCCTATCCTGGTGGCAACTATGCTAGGATGGGAGCAGAGTGTGTGGGAGCCCATTTCTCCACAGGAAATCCAGAAACAGTCCCACCAACTTCTCCGGGATTAACCTTAAATGCCTTCGCCCTCCCTTAAATCCTCTCACTTCCTTCCTTTTGTCACTTTAAGCATTAGCTACGTATCATTGTAACCCATGTTCAATACTCAGGAGGGAAAGAAGCAATCAGAAACTCACACCTTGGCTCACTTATTCAGAGACTAGGGTACATTCTACGAGTTCCCTGTATTTTCCCTTACTCTTCCCATCCTAAGGCTGGTGCTCCTTGGGATTTGGGCATCTTCTGTTCTCAGTGTATTCGTTCTCCCCGGGCAATCTCATCCTTTGTTATGACAATGATCACCATCTCAGATCTCTCTCTTCTTAGACCTCAGCACCTACCTCTCTACTAGACACCTCCATTTGGAAGTTCCTCAGGACAAAATACATGCCCAATAACTCATTGCTGAATGCATGGATTGTTTAAACCCCTAAAAATGGGCAGCTCAGGCTGAAGTAAGCCTCTGATTTGTTGGATTTTATAGTTCCCCCTTTATTTTATTTTAATTTATTATTATGGATTTGTGAGGCAGTTTGGAGTGGTGAAAGGATCACAGTCCTCAGAATTACAACTGTGTTTAGATCTTGACCTTGCTTTAACATCTATTTCTTTCTTTATTTTTTCCTTGAGACAGAGTCTTGCTCTGTCACCCAGGCA